TGTTGCTTTTGGAGGCTAGGAAAGCACTCACTCCTCGGTCATTTGAATAACACAGCTCTCTTACCTAGAAGTGGCTGAATGTTTCATTATGTACCATGTGCTAAGTATCGTTTTTAGGATTTGCTATGTCAGTAGCTGTTTTCATTCCAGTAATAAATTGATGGTGAATTTCTAGAAGTATTGTAATACTTGCATAATTTTGGTACATGCAACACAGATATTTTTTTTGCCATATTTTAATTCCTCCTCAGTTGAAAATTTTTTAAGACCCTAACAAGTTTTAGTTCACAAAAGAATCGAGCTCTCCTAAGTTTTTCTCCTAGCATTTTCTCTCATTTTGTAGTTTCTTTATTAGTCAGCAGAATATGACTCAGTGGGAAGCAGACTTATATTCACAAGGAGAAATCTTAGGAAGTTTGTTGCAAAGGAAAGTACAGCAGATCACCCCACTAAGGATTCCGATTTCTAACTAGTCACCAGGAGCAGACCCCCAAGCTTAGTAAATCCAGAGGCTCTATCAATACAGGGTCACCCCACAAACACTTCAGGATAGCAAAGAAATACTATATTCCTCCACGTTCTTAAAATTCTTTTCCTAGATTCACCTTCTAAAGGCAACTTTATATAGTAACTTTTAAGTTTACCATGTTAAGTTTTTGAGATAATATTGTATTATCAGCATAATTTTTACTATATGAGATATTTAAGGCTATTCGCCTAAGACACAATACAGTAAGATAAAATTATGGCACTCCTTTTGTGTACCTATAAAAAGTCCCTTAAAATATTCTTTATTATGTGCCTGTGTATATACATGCACGTATAATCTTTATCCATATTCCATTCCAAAAGGTGATTCATTTAGCTAATTCCATTAAAAAAGTGCAAAATGAGGCTCATATAATTTGGGCCACTCTATATACTTTCTAGTTGACATGGTAAAAATTTCCAGTGCTGCACTCTAATGTTCACAGGGCAGTGAGAGTTACTACATAGCAAATAAGAAAAGTAATGAATAACATGTGCAGAAACTACAGCCAAAATAATATCTGAAAAACATATTGCAGTCAATGCACTGCTACGTTGGATAGCAAAGGACCACCCTCTGTTTGTGGAGCCACGGGGAAGAATGCCGGAACTTTACAGCACATACTGGAGAGGTAGTCTTTTTCTCCCAAAGAATAAAGAGCAACAGTGGAAGAGAACTGTGAATAATTTAAATCCTGATACAGACCCATGGGTGGTGAAAAATAAAATAAAATAAATATGTACGTAGGGTAGAAAACAGTGCTTTTATGATGTTTCTGGATTATACATTGGATCATGGTTGGTATTGGTAAAATTAGGATTTTAGATATTCTCAATCAGTGATGTGTGGTTTTGGGTAGACATTTGGAAGAATTGACTTGTGTGGTAAGATTGTTCTAGACGATTATGGAAATTGTACAAATATAGAAACAAATGTACAAAAGTCAAGAAAATAAACTCTAATGAGTGAAGTAAGTGACCTTTTGTGAGGTAGGAGCACAACAGTAGAAAGGAATATATTGTGGATAATTTTTAACATGAAGTTAAAGAAATTGAATATATGCTGTTTCTTTTACCTGCGGTGAGCTCTTTCCTTGTCAAAGCCAAGTCAAATTCTGACTCATCAAGGAAGCCTCTTGCAGCCCATGCTAATTTCTACATCCTCTGAAATTATTATCAAGTACTGGTAATTGTATCCAAAAGCTTTATGCTACACTCACTTTTAATGTCTTCTAATTTGTTTTGCTATCTTGTAACTCCCTTGTACCAAGGAACACTTCACTTTTTAAAATGGATGCTTTAAGAACATAGATCTTTTTAACTGAGTCCCCTTAAACCACATTCCTTCGCTAACACATGCTGGCGATGCCCACAGCACATCTTGCTCAGAGCTGGAAGGGTATTCTTCAGGGCACGCCTGCACTTCTCCCATGGGCAAACTTGGTGCTTACAGGAAATCTGGGGGTGCTTGTTCCCTAATATTACTGTTTATTCCTGTTCTACTTCTTTATTTTTTAAAAGATTTTATTGGGGAATTGGGGAAGGGGAACATTGTGTTTTTCCAGGACCCCTCAGCTCCAAGTCAAGCTGTCCTTCAGTCTTAGTTGTGGAGGGCGCAGCTCAGCTCTAAGTCCAGTTGTCGTTTTCAATCTAGTTGTATGGGGTGCAGCCCACCATTCCATGTAGGAGTGGAACCGGCAACCTTGTTGTTAAGAGCACGCTGTCTAACCAGCTGAGCCATCCTGCCACCTGTGGGCAGCTCAGCTTGGGTGCAGCTCAATGGCTCAGGTGAGAACCAAACCGGCACCCCTGTTGCTGAGAGCTCGCTCTCTAACCAACTGTGCCACCCAGCCCGCCCCCTGTTTACTTCTTAAAGTAATTGTCCTTTAATTAAATATTTCATAAGTCTTCAAAATAATAATCTAGTCAAAATTGTTGCTAGAAAAACCGGGTATAATGCTCTCGAAAGACTCTGTGAGCTGCTAAAAATTTTGCTGTTGAATTTGGGGTTGAGTAATATAATGAACTGGGGTGGAAGGCATCATTACATTCTAACCTCCACCTTAATGAACCCAGCCATGGACGGTGCCACATGAGTGAGGTTTCTGCAACTAAATGCAGCATTTCAAGCAGCAGACCCCTATGCAAAGTAAGAGTCTTTGCCCTACATCACAAGTTTGTGTATTTATATTTTGAGTTATGTGTTTTTAGTATGTATATTTTATTGTTTGTGAATCCCCACTTAAATCTGACATCTTTGTGTAGCAGCCAGATGCTTTTTCAAACCCATCAGATAATGAGGGTTTCCACTGTTTCTTGAGTCTTCTTCCAACCAGTTGTCTACTTTAGCTTGATGATGGAAGCAGATGCCTTTACTAATAGTGGCTGGAGTGTGATTTGGGGAGTGTCTGACACCACATCATCATTTTTTTGTTTTTAAACAGGCATTGTTCTTGCCAAGGTGATTTGTATTCTGTCTGTAGTGCCTGTGTTAACGACTCCCCCGTAGCTGATAAAAATCCTCAGTCACTTTTAATTTGGGGATACTGAAAATTGCAGTGTAAAGCAGAGAAAGCAGTAGTTACCTGTAGAAGCCATGAAGAAAGAAAACAAAGTTTAATCCGGTCTTTTCTGAGGCTTCTTGAATCACCAATATTAGCTCACCACGCAGACATGTCTCCTTCATTACATGTACATTTAGGGGAAAAAATAGTAGTTTTCTAGCATTGATCTCATGGTGTGACTTCAAAATGTGTTTATATTGTGAGCTTGTTAAATTGGGAAGGGAACCTGATAAAAGTTTTCAAATGCTTCCTTCTTTTCATGCCCATTGCCCATTTGCCTTTTAGAACATTTCTTCGTGAACATTCTATAGTCTATGTGTAAAACATTGGCTGAGAGCCAGTGGGCTTACCAATTTATATTACCCTGTTAAGAAAAATTAAATAAAATTTGAAAATGACATGAAAATTGCTTAGAAGAAAAATCTGACAGTGAAAAAGCCCGTTAATGGCCTGATACTCATCCATGCCCTTGTAGTCACAGTTGTGTCGCTTTGTATAATTGCCAGACTCTGAAAGGAAATCGAAAGAAAGAATTAAAAATAAATCTTTCATAAAGCAGCCCTTTACTGAGTACCTATTTTGAATCAGCACTATGAGTACAAAGATGAAGACACTGGTTCACTCTACAAGCTGCTCACAGTCTAATGCAGTGATTCTCAAACTTGCACTAAAAACCGGAACTGCCCTGGCTGAAGCCTTTCAGAAGGGCAGTGGGGCCTCCTGAAAGTACAGACGTGTGCAGAGGATCCACTGCTAGGAATTTTTCCTAAAGAAACAGTCAGGAAAGGGCAAGATGTTGAACCTTTCAGAGCAATGATCTTCGTTTTTAAATGGAGTAATAAATGGTTTACCAGATGTTCCGAGCAGATATTATTGGACACCTACTCCACTTAACCTTGATAAAGAATTTTGTTCTGAGTTACTTTTTTTGTCCACTAACATTGTGTGTATTAGTTGTTTCTTAGCATGGCAGGACCATCTCCATAGTTTACTGAGCCAGTTCACGGTTTTGTTTTCCTTTCTTTCTCCTTGATCTCCAATACAGTGTGGATAATATATTAATTATGCTGATGCATTCTGCCTTTGAACCCTTCTGTCATTGTGGGATTTTTTTTTCTTAAGTGGCTTTTCGAAGTCTGTGATAAGTTGGTCCAAGTTAAAACAAAAGTGATTTTCATACGGGTGCTGCTGTTCTCTGTTCCTTATCCATGTTTATATAAAAGATTGCTTGATTCCATTTGGCCGTTGGTGAGTAGCTTTGGAAGAAAATTGAGGCACATGAACTATGTAGCCAAACACTTGGTATTTACTTTGGTTGGTTTACCGTGGTGCCTGAGAACCGCTTGAGAGGTTAGCCAATTTCCTACTGTTAATTTAAGCAGAGTTTTAAGTTGTTTTAAACGTATAGTACAATGTCTAAGATCAGCTTTAAGACACTCAAAACTTTTATTTTCCAGGAAGAGTATAGGATTTACTTAGTTTTGGGACTACCATTCAACAGCCTTTCTGACTTTTCATTCAAATGTGAAGAATTAGAATTGCTGATGTTATTTGCTAGGAAGTAATGGAATTTCTGAAACTCAGATGTTATTTCTTTCACAGTTAATAATGCAAACTTGCAAAAAATAAACTAGCACTGGTAAACTAGTGCTTAACAAAGCATTGTAACTTCTATTTGTCTCCTACAGGTTTGCTTCTAAGACTTCAGTTTTATTTTTTCCCTTAAAGTGGCAACGAGGTTAACAGAGAAGCAAACATTTGCAAACCTAAGGCTTTTCCACATGGCTCTTCATAGAATTACATATTCATTTGGATCTTCTGCTTTTTTTTTTATCTTCAAGACAATGACATTTCAAAATTCTTTTCCTTCCGAAAACAGAGTTAATTGCTCATTTGTTCTAATTTAAGGGTCTCTCCTCTTCAAAAATCTGAAGTCGTTGAGATGGTTAAGAAACAAGTCAAAGTCATAACGCTTGCAATTGGTGATGGAGCAAATGACGTCAGCATGATACAGACGGCGCATGTTGGTGTTGGCATAAGTGGCAATGAAGGCCTTCAGGCAGCTAATTCTTCTGATTACTCCATAGCTCAGGTAAAGCAGCATTTCTGCAAAACATCATTCATCTCAGTCAGCTGACACGATGAAGAGGAAAATATTAATTTCTTCTCCGTTCTTCTTTTAGTTCAAGTATTTGAAGAATTTATTGATGGTTCATGGTGCCTGGAACTATAACAGAGTCTCCAAGTGCATTTTGTACTGCTTCTACAAGAATATAGTCCTCTATATTATTGAGGTAATAGCAGGTTAAGTTTAAAATCTCTGTCACTTGCATAGATGTTTAAAGAAGTTTTCTGTACGATGACATTGTCTCATTTTAATTAATCCACTTGCCCACATTTTATAACTTCTAAACATGTTAAAACAAAAGGTTTGTCGGACATGGCGAATCATTGGTGTTTAAATTCTGGCTAAACATGTTATATTGCTTTGGTAAGAAATGTTGAGTTAGAATTGCTAATGACGTAATGTTTTCAGTTTTTAAAAGACTACAGCCTGTAGAGAACTTTTTATGAGGCGCAAAAACATACAAGAGAAAACTATACACTATTTAGGATACACACATGGAAAACTATTTAAAAAGCAAAATAAGGAATGATGGACATAAAGCTAGGACAGCAGTTCTACTTGGGGCAGACCGAGGAGGAGAATCAGGAAGGATACATAGATCATTTTGCTAGTGTTAGTCGTCTTGTATTTCTTATTTTCTTTCAAACTTGGATACTTACATACAAGTATCCCTGCTATCCAGAGCTGTTTTGGTTTCTGAGTTTGGTAGGTAGCCAAGAGTTCAGATAACGAGGAATGTGTCTAATAATTATCAAATTATTCAGCTCCAGTGTCTGGATAGCAAGAAACTTCTATATTCCTTTTCATGTATCAAATACAACATCATTTTTTAAATGAAAACTTAACCTGGGTCAGGACTATCACTTCTAAAGGGATGTATTCTACAAACAGTTTTACAACAAGCACCTACTGGGTGCCAGGCACCACGCTTAGCTCCACAACTACAAAGTAAAGCAAGCGTGAGTTCCTGTCCTCTGGGAGCTTGCCAATAGAAATGCAATGCAAGTCACATGTGCAATTTTAAATTTTCTAGAAGAAGCCACATTAGCAAAAATTAAAAATTAAAAAGTCCAAATTCATTTTTAAATGTTTTATTTAACTCGAAATAGCCAGTACTATCATTTCAACATATAATCACTATAAAAGTTATTAAGGTGATAAGAAAACCCTCCGTATTCCACTCCTGTCAGGGACCCCACCTACACCCTTAAATATGCTCAGGGCTTCCTTACAGATGTTTGTTTATGCCAGCTTGTCCTCTAACTGTTGACTGTTCCTACACATTTATCAGAAGAGACACAACCTAACCATTTTCTATGTAAATAACACCCCATACTTGACACTTGAGAAGTAACACTGTAAACAAAACAAAACAAAACAAATCTAGATTTTACATTGACCCTATTGACACGTTAGCTGGGAACTGCTAAATGTCTGGTTCAGGTGTTCTTTATGCCTCTGTCAGAATGCTTATCTCTTTATTAAAATGTTGACTGAGCATAGTTCTTATTATGAGTCAGACTAGTAAAATTGAAACTTAGTTTCATTTCTTGGTCACTAAAAATCTATAATTATGTTACAACCCAGTAGGTAAAATAATCAAATATGTGGAAACATAAGCAGTATGATCTGTGAACTTACTTGTTCATTCCTGCTGATTTGGTCTGGAATAGTCTGTGTGTTGAGTCAAAATGTACCTCCAAAATAGCTTATGAGATCCAAAAAATATACGTTCTTTGTTGTATATATATGAATTTGTGATTACTTTCTAAAATAATTATTTTTCATTCCCAAACCTGTCTATATAGTTCCTAGCTTTTGCAATTATATTTTTTCTAATTCAAAGAATATCAATTTATACAGTTTATTTACATATATTTTTTAAGATACCAGGTGTTTAAAGCCATTGGCAGTAATAAATCTGCTTACAAAAATTTAATTTTATAAAATGAAATAAAAGTATTCAAGTCACTGATTTTTTTTTTTTTAAATCTAGATCATTTGACAATCAACAATGAGTGGGCAAAACTTATGTACTAATGGGGGAAATAAAATATATTAAACTCAAATGAAAAGCTAAATGTGCACTCTTTGAAATCCAGAGTTATGCAATTTATGGTTGATTCCCCCCAAATTTCAATTGGCTTTCAATTGAAAGCCTCTTCATGAGATGTTTAATACTGACCAAATTCGTTACACGTTGAAAAGGAAGTAAGTCCTAAACTTTACTGGAAATCTCATTTATACGTTATTTTTCTTTTAGCACTTTATGGAAATGTATTTTGAATATAATTCAACTATCTTGGAAACAAATTGACCTTTTCAATCAATTCCCAGATACCCAACTTTTGCCAGTTAAAACAAGTTCTGCAGATGTTAATGGCTCATGTCAATACTGTGAATGAATAGACAGAAAACACATCATTGAATGTCTCTAGTGAGGACAACTGCCAGTCTCGAATCTTTCCTTTCAGTTTTTTGTGCTGATCAGGCGTGGGAGCAGAGGACTCATTGACTGTTTGTAAGCTGCTGTTTAATATGCAGAAATGCTCCATCAGGAAAATGTCTGTGAAGCTTTAACTGCCACGCCTCTGCTGGGTCGTGGAACTTAGAAAATAATACCAGGAGGGGCAGGTCTGAAGTTTCTGTGCTAATAAAGAAATAGTCTGGAACACTATGGGTTTAACAGATTATCTGCAAAAACTGCTTTTCCCAGTAGCTGTATTGCCAGGAACGTCACTATCTAGCTACTCCGTTGCCATAAATGACAGCCAAACAAATAAATACAGATTTGGCAGGTGACTGTATAAAGCACTTTCTTATTATGGTGGCCGCCCAGCAGCAGCAATAGGTGTTTATTGAAATTACTGGCTCTTTCTAAAGAGAGTTTATTATTATTATTATTATTATTTCTTGGAGACATCTGACTTCTTTCTACCAAAATAAGATCTTTTCTTTCAAACGGTTGGTTGCATCCAGGTTTTCTGGTAAGATCCCAAAACAATGTAGTGTTTCTAATTTCGAGAAGCTTTGATTCAAGTCAATGAGGTGATAATTTCCCAGCACATTGTGCTGGGATGTGGATTTCCTCTGAATTTAAATAATTTAGATACCTCCCCTGAGGGACCGATGTTTTCTTTCTGTTTCTGTAGTTTTGGTTGAGTCAAAGGAGGGACTTTCGTGTGTTTATAGTAATGTAGGTGTTGTTTTATTTAGTGTGAGATAAGTTTCGAATATATCTTTTAACTACAAATCTCAGACTAACTTGAAATCAGCCTTCTGGTAACCTTCTTCACTGTCAAAGATCTCTTTCTCGTTTAAAACATGTAAACTTAAATGCCTAAATATTTGGTATGAAGGTGTGGGGTATTATATTGGAAGGTTCTGCTCTTACCTAGTCATTTCTCCATTTTTAAAAAGGAAATTAGAGTATTAACTTTTTAAAGTGCAGGAAGAGAATTTCTAAATACACGTTCACATATCTTTCAGTAGGAAAATGAAAAAGTAAAAATGTATTAAAATTTAAAATTTTCTGCATTTCTGTCATAAAGCAGTTAATTTTTAAAATAAACTTTGAATGCAGGCATGTTGGTTTATTTGCAAATTATTTGGAATTTGAAACTTTCTGTAAATATTCATTGATTGAGAGGTTCTTAAATTTCAAGCTCATCGTGGCGTGTTTATATCAGCACCTAGTGTTACGTACAAAGAAGCCAGGAGACTGTTCGCATTCACAAATGTTCACTCACATAATAAATTTATTAGCACGAATTTTCTCTTATTATATAGTAATGGCGATTGCAAGTGCATTTATAACTGTAACCTTTGAGCCAATTCGTATCCATTAAACGAATTTGGTATGCAGGTAGCTTTGGCTTTCTTCAAACCAAGAAAGATTAGACTGCATCTTTATAGACTGTGAGGCTACAATTTGAAAGTCTGGGTTTAAAAATTTCTTATATCGCCATCATAAGCTAAGAAATGTGAAAGAGCTTTTTAGTATGTCATAATACCACAATAGATCACAGTGACCTTCAGTGAGAACCTTACTATTACCCAGAGTATAACAAATATGTATTTACATAATCCACATCTCACAAAGGCCAAATGTGAAAACACAATAACAAGCATCGAAGTCTGTTTTGTCAACTTGTGCATACTTACACTTAAAAAAAAAAAAATTAAGGTCAGCAGCACCACCCTAAGGAATAAACTTAAGTTCACATGAAGATGCTAAGCTCTTTTAAAATCTACTTGTACAAATGAGTGATCTGGCTCCATGTTTAAGGTGAATGTTCCATTTTTTTCCTGTAAATACATGTGTCAAAGCAAGCAACATTTTCAGATTTGGCTCCAATGTCTGTGGTTTGTTATTGTTGTTGCTCATGTGTGTTACAACCCTAACACAATTTGGACTTATTTTTCATGGGCTATTGCTACTTTGTTTTCTTTTTCATCTCTTATGAAGTAGACATTCCTTTTAACCTATGCTCAATCATTCCTTCCCACTATAAAAAGGAAAAAGATCAATGTGGGTACAGAAACTGTTCGTACGGGGGCCAGCCCGGGTACATACTGATAAATGGTGAATTTCTAGTGATTCATGCTTCCATAATGAGGTGAAATGAAATGTGAAGTGTAGCCAAGTCCCTGCAACTCCGATTCAAAAATTCACTGGACCGGGCATGTCAAGGCTGCTTTCCTCTAACAGGTTTTTTTTGTTGTTGTTCTGTTTTGGTTTTGTGTTTGTGTTTATGTAATCTCATTGCTGGACGAGACTTTTTATTCTTACAGATCAACAGGATTTTAATTACATTTTGGGTCTGCTTTTTAAAAATAATGTAGGTATTATTGATTTACCAATACTCACTTTAATTTTCCATATAACTTAAACATGTTGGAGAAAATTTCTCTATAGTGCCTCTAAATATTGCATTCAAAGTTAAGGTTTCTCTTTTTAAGAGAATTGCAAAATATGTAAGAACATTATGCTCTATTAATTAAAGGTTTGTTTTTATTACAGCAAAAATTTAAGTTACCAAATATTTCAATATATAAATTCATATTTCGTAGTCTGATGGCTGTAATTATCAGGAACTATAAAAAAATTCTTATACTTTGACCCATTAATTCTACTGCTAAGAACTCATCCTTACAGTGGAGGGCACAGAAAATTTTTAGAGATGATAGATATGTCTATTATCTTGATTATAGAAATGGTGTCATGGGTGTACACATGTTCAAACTTACCAAATTATATACATTAAATGTGTACAGTTTTTTGTATATCAGTTACATCTCAATAAAGCTGACTTTTACCAAAAAAAACAAGAATTAATTCTAAAGAAAGAAATGTGTAGGGCTTCTGTACAAGAATATTCAGTTCAGAATTACATATAATAGCAAAAACTAGAGCCAAGCTAAATACCCAGAAATAGTTATAGCCGCCCTGTAGAGATTATACATTCATTAACATCATTTTAAAGGCTTTGTAACAACTTAAGAAAATGTTTATTACATGGTGTTAAGAGGGAGAGGAGCAGAACATAATACTATATACAGGTTTCCAGTTCGGTAAATTTATGAATGTGTATAAATGAGCTATATGAATGCAACTAACGCAGAAGAAAATAACTGGTGATTATCTTATCAGAGGAAAGTATTTTATTTTCTAAAGAAGCATGTGTCATTTTATAACGAAAACGATAATATTTAAATATCAGGAGATATTTTAAAAGGGAATTAAAGTTCTAAATATTTAATGGCATAAAATATATTCCCTGAACTGCCCTTTAGAAAACAAGGTTATATTTATTGTTTTTAAATCAATGATTGCCTGTTATATAGTTCTTTTTTGATTCAACAAGTGGAGCCAATTTTAGCTTAAATAACAACAAATACCTTACGAAAGCATCCCTTCTAATTAAAAACTAAAGCAAAGAAATACCATGTTTAAGAGGGTCATGAAAATATGTTAATGCTGCTATTAAGCAGTGATTGAGTATACAGCAGATTCTACGCAATGCATTTATATTTTTTGTGTTCTAATTTGGGGGATTTGGGGTTGTTTTCTTCCTAGATCTGGTTTGCCTTTGTTAATGGCTTTTCTGGACAGATCCTCTTTGAGAGATGGTGTATAGGTCTTTATAATGTGGTAAGTTTAAAACATTTGGTTATTCCTATTTTATTGACTACTTTGAGATTGTGGTTCACCCTGCCTTTGGCTGCTTGGTATAATGACCACTTTGTGCACTTTAGATGTTTACAGCAATGCCTCCCTTAACTCTCGGAATATTTGAGAGATCGTGCAGAAAAGAGAACATGTTGAAATATCCTGAATTATACAAAACGTCTCAGAACGCCTTGGACTTCAACACCAAGGTAGGGTCTGAGTTCCTGGGACACGTCCGGGGGACTTGCTTTACTTCTGTAATTACTTGAGGCATCAGGTGTTGCAAAGCCCAGGGAACAGCTCCAAGTGCTTACTCCGGCAAGTCAGGCTTGCCTACGGTTCTGATATGGCCTGAGAAGGTTTTTTGTTTGTTTTGTTATACAATGAAAATCTAACCCTGATTCACTGGGATTTGCCAGGCAGCAGTAAGCTGGGTCTGGCGGACAGAGGCGAGTGTCCATTCGGCCCTCTGACCTCCTGTCTGCAGCGTTTGGGGAAGTGCTCACTTCTCACAGGGGTCAGCCATCCCAGACTGACAGGGGTAAGGTGGTGAGCGGTGACATGGCATTCTTCACTGATTATCTGTTCTGTGAAATAACTTTGTCCTCATTACAATCTTAGCTTGTTTGTATCGAGCATTAAAATAATGGTCTCTGGGAAATAACTCACTTAGTCATAATATTCAGTGTTTCCGAGCCATAAAATCTAAAATACAAGATAAAATGTCCAATATTTTTTCTAAAATCATATTCTGGGTTTATGGCCTGTGTAACACACCGTGGACTATTGTTATCTCTTGTGACCCATGATTTATTCATCCCAACAGCAAAAATATCTCATTTTCTGCATAGTTTACTTTCCTGAAAATATATATTCTAAAGTGTTTCCACTGGTATTTTCTAGTAATTCAAGGTTTTGTTTAGTGTGAGCAAAATTTTTTTTTAATTTTATAACAGTCAAGGTAGATGCCATTTTGAAACTACAATAAAAGTAACAAATATAATAATACACCTTCACAGATTTTTTTCCCATTTCATACAACACATGTTTATTAGCATGGTACTAGTAATTAGATGTAACCTAGATTCCATGTTTTCAATTTAGGACAGTTAATGTAGGATATTTGAGATATTTATTAATTTTTAAAGCTCCCAAATTTATTATTCTTGGTATACCAGTAGAATAAGATGAAACCATTGTTTCAGTGTCCCAACCTCACACCATAAGCGACAGTGCTGAGTTTGTAGCCAGGATGCTTTTCATCTTCTGAGACGAGGTCTTCATGAATGCACTGTGCATACACCTTGATGCTGTTGTTTTAAATACCTGAATTTGGTTGATTAAAAAAAAAAAAAAACACTGAGGAGTTCTTAAACTTCAACCATTGATTCTGAAAAGTATTTTCAGTGGTCTCTTAAAACTGTTACTATTTATGATATGAAATGTCTATGCTTTTATTTTTTAATGTTTTATTTTTGGAATTTTTTAACTTGATTCATGATATCCAGTTTGTATTAAATTCTACCGCTTAGCCATGTGTTTCATTACCTATGGTGGATATTTTCAAGTGATAGAAAGCCACAGTCAGAGCAGATGCAATGGACTATGAGCTCTTATTTCCCTGAGAATGTGATCTGAGGGCTAGGGAAGTTCCAAACATCTTGGCACACTGACCGTAATCCTCACCGACCTAGACCATTGTATCAGCCTCAGCCACAGGTCCCCAAACTACCATAGCTCAGCTCCGCGGTTCTCCAGAGAGTTAACTTTGCAGCCACAAACTTGGCCATGGTACTCTCGCTTACAAACATAAATTGATTCTCACCGGATTACCCAAAAGCGTTCCTGGAAAGTCATATCCTTTCATGCCTTTTGCACGTGACAACTTGGACACAGGTTTGTGGCCAGGGAAAAGGTGTAGCAAGTAGTATATAGTTTTAATGTGGATGCATCATTCCTTGCATTCTTTGCTCTTCTTTTGTTGTTTACAAAGTATCTCATTATCTGCAGAGCCCATGCATTTCAAAACAGTCATCAGATCAACCCAAATAGATTATGCCATTTCTGTATCCATTTGTTTATTTCTAAAGCCATGAGTTGCCCACCATTTTTTTTTTCATAGGGTTTATGGATGTTTCTAATGATTTCAGTGAAAACTCTTTGATGAAACCCCACATAAGTGTTTTAAAATTCAGGGACAAATGGCTACAAAATGCATAGCTGTATACACAGTAGTTGCTGTGGGTCACCAGTGTAGGAGCATTGTTACTCTGAATGATGCTGATTACGTTTGTTATGGTAAAAAGGGTCGGAGGTTCTGAGGTCATGACAGGGGTTAAAGGATTAGCATGTGACAATAAGTAGCGGTCAGGAAAATGGAAAAGTAGAACTAATTTTTCTTGCACCCACCTGTGCTTTCTGTCAAATAAAAACTTGTGGTAATGACATAGTGAGGAGAAGAGACAAAGGTTAATGAGTAACACAAGTTCAAATGTGTAATGTATTGGAGCGTAAATTGGATCATACAATCCAGTGTGGCTGCGTGAACTAACAAAGGAGATTGAGATCACGGTGGAAAATTTTGGAAGGCAGGCAACTTAATTTCTGTTGTTTGAACAGCTTAAAACTATTAATACATGGCAATTTTATTTAGCAGAAGTTTTGTTTGCAAGAAGCACTTCTAAATGGCAAAGCTGCAATTGTTCACGAGGCCATAAGAATTTTAAACAGTTTTTCTATAACTTAATCTTTCATATCCATGTTACAAAGAAAGACCAGTGATACTTGCCCTCTTATTTTTAAAATACAATTGACGTAGAAAGTAATAACTATTAAATGATATTATAATTGTAAGAAGTTTGATGTTGACAGATATTAAAAACTGTGAAAGCCTTTTATAAATTCAGTTATATTGACAGTGCTTTAGGGATTATACAATTAAAGTATAGTGCCTGCTATTTTTAGTATATAATTTATATGTATGTATAAATGTATATATACATATACATTTATATGTATATGTGTGTATATATATATACAAGAGAGAGAATGTGAATGTATTATATCCTTATCATTGAAAAGTTTATACTTTTATTGCACATGGGAAAGAGAAAGTAGAAATTTCACCAAATTAGGATCTTTTTAAAAGCCTCTTCTTCTGGAATTATGAAACTAGTCTCACTTAAAGAATTTCAGGACCTGCATTTATTTTAAATTTTCTTTTCTTTTTCAGGTAGAAATTTAAACTTCTAGTACTTGGTTTTTAAAAAGTAGAAAAAATTTCAGTGAAGCTGAAAAAACATTTTGAGAAACATAAAAATAAATAAATGACCCATGAAGGTCTAAGTGGCAGAAAGTGTCTGTCAGTTCTATTAATTCACAGTGGTGGCCCGACAGAGACACGTTTTGTGAATCTAGCTCACAGATAAAAAGAAAGGTCAGAGTTCACAGAGCTAGTTTATCGCAAATGGTTCTCATGGATTTTTGTTTTCCCTCAGGTTTTCTGGGTTCATTGTTTAAATGGCCTCTTCCACTCAGTTATTCTGTTTTGGTTTCCACTAAAAGCCCTTCAGTATGGTAAGTAGAAAGGATATGAATGCTAAGAGATGACTTTTTACTTTTTTAGAAAAATAACTCATTGTTAATATATGTTAAAAATTACAGCAGTGTTTCATTGTATGGTATTTTCCTTAACCTAAAATACGTACATCCAAAAAGTCGTACACACGTTAAAGATTTTTATTATTCCTTTGGGAGCAAAGTGATTTAATATATGCAAAGCCTTTCTTCTGAAGCCTCATGTTTTTCCAACTTGCGGAGAGTTAAATTTTAGGGCTCTTTTTGTTCTCTGATGATGTATAGTTTGAAGACAATACTGCTAATATTTTATGTAGTCTATTTATTATACCTGTGAGGCTTGTATCAAGCCCTTTATACTGAACCTTATCAGACAGGCTAGTGTTTTCAAGTATACTTAAGCTGATGTCTTAAATGAGAGTTTTAATATGTTTTCATGTTCATGTTGGAGTGTAAGCTTTTTCTCTTCTTGTTTTGTGGGAGTGATGTTATTCTGTCAGTTTTGAGAGACAGGATCATGGTGAATTTCCTATACACATAAAAATGATTCAGTAGCCGCTTTAGAAAAGAAGTCTCCCTGATGCTTGAGCTGGTGCTGCCGTATCCTGGAGCAGACCTTGCCCGTGAGGTCCTGAGGAAGACATCCAGGGCCTCTGCTCCCAAACGACAGTAATTAAAAACACAGCACACACTTCCACCCTAGGGTGTGTCAGTCCTCTGGAAGGATAGGCCATCCCTCGGTGACTGTGAGTTAATGCCTGCCAGCAGAGGAGAGTCCATCCCTTCTTGTCCTGTACAATCGGTTCTCAGGCAGCCAGCATGATCCTTATAAAATGTATATCAGACCAGGTGACTCCCTCCACAAAAACCCACAGAATTCTATCACATTTGGAACAGAATCCACGGCCCCAACCTTGGCTGACTCCTCCACTTAATTTTATCCCTCACTTTTCCCCCTCAGTATGCCTCCAGCCAGCCTCTATGCAGTTCCTCATTCTCCACCCAGATATGCCAGTGGGCTGTCCTCTCACTCCCCCAGGTCTGTGCTCAGAGAGGCCCTCTCACATCACTCTTATCCGAAAGAGCCGCCAGCACTGTCCGCACAGCTCGTCACTCTGTCCCCTCTGTCATCTTGTGTCTTCTTCATGGTACTTGCCTATCAAGGTGTAATATATTTGCTTATTTTTTTTATTGTCTTTCTCCTCAGTTATAATCAGAACTCCAGCATGTCAGGGAACTGTCCGTTTAGCTCCCTGTTGTATTTACAGCAGTTAGAACAGAACCTGGCTCATTGTAGGCACTCGGTAAATTGTTGATGAATTAACGAGAGCATGCTGTGTGAATGGGGTGAGTAAGTGTGACAGAGAAGGCAGTGGTTTCATGTCCCAGTCAGAAATTTTTATTTCATGTCTTTATTAATTGCTTTACCGGTATAACAGTAAATACTTCTCATTTTTTAGGCCATGGAAATGAGTGTGGTATGAAATCTAATTAAAATAAAGAACATTGATTCACCAAGCTAGGAAAATCAAAATGGGATTTTTTTTTAATTTTAGATATAAATCACATACCATAAACTCCTTTTAAAATCAAACGAGTCAGTGGTTTTCAGTATATTTATAGAACTATGCAAACATCACCACTATCTAATAATGCCAGAACATTTCGTCACCCCATAAAGAAAACCCCACACCCATTAGCAGTCACTCCCCATTTCTCTCCACCTTCCCCCAAGTCCCTGGCAACCACTGATTTTTGTCTCTGTGGATTTGCTTATTCCGGACATTTCATATAAATGGAATCATGTGACCTTGTGAATGAACCATGTTACCTTGGCTCATCCATGTGCACCATGAATCAGCACTTCAGTTCCTTTTATGGCTGAGTAATATTCCCTTGTGTAGGGCTATACCACATTTTGTTTGTTCATTCATCAGTTGGTGGATATTTGGATTGTTTCCACTTTTACAAACCATGGGTTATTGAAATCCAGGATATAATTCAGGAAACCTCGATCTTAGACAAATTCTCCAGGTAAATTTTCAAAATGCAAAATCAATATAGGTTTGAAAGACTAGACATGTCCCTCTATTAAACTGCTATTTCAACATTTCAAATTAGGAAACAGGAATTTAATATCAAAAGTAGTTCAAACCAAATAGCATCCCAAATCTCCAAACAGTGACAGGACTTGAAAGGAATTCCCAAATAACTCCAGCTCCTAGAGAGCAGATCCGAGACCTCGTTTGTGTTTGCCAGGTAACCGTCCAAGCCAGCCAGCTCCAGCAGTTCACAAGGGGTGCTGCCTGTCGAACCCAAATCCAGCCACGTCCAGACAACTCGAGCTTTCTCTTCTTATGCGATGAATGATGTGCAACATAAATTGCATTTTAACATTCTCGTGTTGAGGATGTTGTCGGGGATTTTTTGCCTTGCTTTTCATTTTTAAATAGGGAGGGGATTTTTGTTTCTGTATTCTAGCTTTTGAAAAAAAATGGAGTACAGGAGAAGTATAAACATGCTTTATAATGCATTGCTAAGTATTCATTTATTATTCACATCAGCAGTTCTCTAAGTATAGTCTGCAGATACCTGGGAATACCTAAGACCTTTGGAGGGGTGGTCCGTGAGGTCAAAGTTTGGCAGTTTCAAATGTTTTACAATATTTTCAAGACAGTTTTATCTGTTTCACTGCTGATACAAAAGCAATAGTGGGTAAACTTGCTGGTACCTTGGCACAACAGTGATACCACTGTACTAGTATAATAGATATTATACTCTACACTGCCATGCACTCATAGTAAAAAGCCACAAAAAAAGCCAGTTTCACTTAAGAATACCCTGGAAGAAGCTGTAAAACTAATACTTTCATTAAGTCTCAAAACTTGACACGTATGAATCTTCTGTGTGACACAATGGGAACTGCACAGATAGCACATGTACGGCAAACCGAAGTGCAGCCATGGTGTCAAGGTCTAGGGCCTTGCAGATGGTCTGTGTTGTGAGCTGAACCAGAAACTTTCATGAGGTTTCAGAAAGTGATCCATTCAAAGTGCAAAGGGGACTAATGCGTTTGAATGTAATCCATGACCAAAATTCTACTCTGCAATTAACCTTTAAGAAAATACCTCTACTCTTTACAAAGTTACTTGTTGAATTTTGATGTAGTACCAAAGAATACCCAGTTATTTGAAAAGATCATTAAAATACTCCTTTTCATTATAACTCCATTTCACTGTGAAGTTAGAGTTCCCTCATATGTTTCAACCAAAAATAAAAAAAATAGGATAACCTGGCTGCCTTTCATTAAGCCAAATATTAAAGAGATTATAAAAAATGTAAAACAATGCCTATTTTCTCTTTTTTTTTTTTCATTTTGGGAAATAGTTAATTTTCATAAAATTTGTTTACATTACTGTTTATTGGGTTTGTTACTGTTATTTTTTAAGTAAATCAATACATATATTTTTTATTTTCTATCTTAATTTCTAATTTGGTAAATATTAATAGATAGAAACCATGTAAACAAAAGCTTTTTGGATCCTCAGTAATTTTTAAGACTATAAAGGGCCCAGAGACCAGAAAATATGAGAATGAATGATTCACCTGAATCATCCAAATGCTAAACCTGACAAACCCAACAAGAGGCTTTTTTTTTTCCTCAATGAGATCTTGAAATTAAAATCTGTCTTCCTAATGATGAACCAACGGTGATTAGAAGGCTTAGTTGGACCCAGCTATGATTATTTTTGCTTACATTGCCCGAGGGAGCTGACCAAAGTGCCACATAGCAGAAGCATGCAAGTCAGGAAGTAATCAACATATTTTCTATTATTTTATAGATTTCTGAGTTTTTTAATTTTGTTGTATGGAAATTTACAGATTAATTGCAGACGTTTAGAAGTTTGCCCACAACATGCCCACAAAACGTAGATAGCACATCAGATCCTATATCCATAATCATGGAATACCCCCCATAGAGAAAGGTAGTCTCCTAGGTGGCTTGGCTGACTGAAGCAGCCCTTCCTGGCTACTTTCACCTGAACACTTTAGAAAGGGAAGGGTCACATTTTGGAACATCTGCCATGTGCCAGGCACCATGCTTGGTACTTTACATATGTAACTTTATTTTAACCTAATCACTCCATCTTTTAAGGGAAGAAACTGAGTTCCATAGAGATTGATTACAAATAACCCAAGATGACACAACTAGTAACAGAGCCAAACCTTATCTATATCTCCAAAGTTCACCCGACTCTCTTTTCTCTTAGTACCAGCACCATTCTCCCTGACTCATCCCATACTTTATTCTTGCATAGTTTGCCCTTACATATTAGGCTTTGAATAAATATTGTGGAATATGTGCATAAATGAAATGTTATAATACACATACCATGAGTTTTAAACTTTTCATTGATACCAATAATTTAATTATTCAGTGGTTTTTTTTGTTTGTTTGTTTGTTTGTTTTTTAGCTGAGCCATCCTGCCTCCTGTTGGCAGCTCAGCGGCAGCTCAGCTCGGGCCGGGCATCAAACCGCTGTTGCTCAGAGCTCAAACTCTTGAGCGAGCTCTTAACCAACTGAGCCACTCGGCCAGCCCTCAGTGGTTTTTTTTTTAATCAGTATAGTGATTTTTGCTTGTTAACTACCACTTCCTTCATCTAAAGCCATGGTTGTTAGTCGTTCCTAGAAGAACAAAATGCCTTAGTCTATACCCCTAAATGAAGCTAAATCCTCAATGAGCCATGTGCCTGGAATCATATGGTCTTCCTCAGCCCTCTGTGAGTAGTTCTTCTGAATCCTTGTTGGTCCACTGCCAACAGCTTTACTAAGAGATGGTAAGAATGCTCCCTAAACTCCTCATCTATATTGTTAACAGAGCTCTTTATTAAGAGTTCATAGGCCTTCTCCTGTCTCAATACTCATAGTGTTAATTAAGCTTTGCTTGAACAATTAGTTTCTTTTTTTTTTTTTTTAATTTCATGGATCCTGAGATTTGCTCAATAAGTCAGGTTTCCTTCTTCATGTTGGCTATCGGGAATTTGTTTTTAATTTGTGACCTCTATTTATAGCAGCTTTGTGAGACTTCTTACAGTATTTTTTTTAGCCTTATTTGTGGTTCCATTGCTTTCCCTTTTTTTGTTCACTACTTTTAAGTTTAATTATCTTTGAAAGCATTCTGAAAGGACCTCATTTATTTTCTTTTCTAACGAGCCTCTCTTCTTTTTATGCAGGCACTGTATTTGGAAATGGAAAAACCTCTGACTATCTGCTATTGGGAAACTTTGTTTACACTGTAAGTACAGGACATTTGCTTGGTTTACATATAAAACCGAGTCCTTTCATATGTGCTCCATGCTCGTTTCATTTTCAAATTTAAATGCGTGCATTTCTGGATTTAAGGGTTGGTTACACTTCCCTTTAAAAATGAAATGAGATGTTTGGATTAGTAAGAGATTACTTTCTATTAGGTTATTAAAATGTTACTTAGGTTCACTTACTTTATAGGACTTCGGTTGCTATTATTTTCAATATTCCCTCTTGACTCTTATTACCTCCTATTTGCCCTTTTTCTCTTCCTTATCCCTCTTTGCTCAGGTTCTTTTTTTCCTGCCCTTGTTTATATCTTTTTGCTTTTCTAAATTTATGGCAAATATTATACTGGTTTGGGGTCTTTGACCGGTAATTGTTCTAGAGTCTCTTGATAACTAACATGGGAGAGAAATCTCCACTCTTCGGGTACATTTTCACCCACACAAGGCATGGAACTGATAGACTTAAGTAATTATCCCAAAATGATAGAAGATGCACTGATGATTGCAAGCCCATTCCTGCCATAAAGAGCCAAAGAATGTTTTAAAACCATTTTTCCCTTAAAATTCAAAAGCACTACTTGTCACACAGTTGGTATCTGATAAAAATTTACTCTAACCTGCAATTCTGAATTGTCAGACCAATGTTCTTTCCTCTCTACTCGTGTTTCCCTTCCATGATCCTTGGATGTGGGCACCGTGCTATTCTACATACTAAGTGGTCATTGGTATGGCTGACTCAGTGGGTGAAAAAACTATAATAGGATGTTTAAATGTCAAATGTTTACATAACTGAGTGATAGTTATTAAGTAATATAGGGATTAAGGTTTTGGCAAATCCAGAGGTCTCCTTTCCATAGACATCAGCCCCCTGAAATAGTAAGAGAAAGGAAAAATATGTTCTAGGGGGCTGGTGATTTGTTCTCATACAACATGAATGCAAAACAGAAATAAGCAAATACCTGATAGAGTAAGTTTAGAAATTAATCAGTCTGTATCATGGATGTTTCCTAGGGACATATTAAAGTACCCAGGTCTTAAGAGGCAGTTTTTCTTCAATTTTAAGTTAAACTATATCTTACTTTAGGACTTTTCATATCACTCCAGTTAATTAATATTTACATTTTAATAACAGTTTTAGTTCTACAGATAATAATCCTACATTGTTATGGAATAGCCTGCTGAGAAAGCCCAACTGCCTCCGTAACTTTATGACCCCTCTGGGAAGCATCTAAGCAAATACTATGTGCAAACCCTTAAAAGGCCTGAAGGTGGGACTTGGCCATTGAAGCATTTATTGATGACCAGTGCTAAGCACACGTCATACATCCATCACCGCAAACTACTGAAAATGCCCAGAGCTCTCTAGATTACTAACAATGTTTAAAATTTTATGATTAATTATAAATAGATGATAATAGATAACAGTGCTCAGCACTGTTCTTGGTGCTTTGCACTCAAACCCCGAGGAGGTAGGTGAGCTTTATCAGTTTATAGATGAAGAGCTGAGACACAGAGATGTCAAGGAACTTGCGTTGTTCCTTAACCAAAACAGCTAATAAATGATGGCATCCTTAGCACAAATTGTCTGAGATCAGGCCCAGTCCACTTAAGCATGATGTTACCCTGTGGAAAACACAGGGCAGTTCATTAAACCTGGTTCCCTTCCTTTGGAATTAGTAGCTTAGTCACCGACGATGGGGGTATACATCACATAATTAGCTCTTATATTCTCTGCGTAGTTTCAAGTAAATAGTTACAGAATAAGTGTTTAGATTTCTAAATATCCAGTTATATTACTTTTAGAATTTATCTTTAAAATTCAGGAAGTGGAGGCTTTAAGTATTAAAGATGATATCCAATTAAAGCAAGCTTGAAAACCCAAGTATATGCTCCGTCACTGTTCATGAATTGTACTAGAAGCAGGCAGACACGTGCTCCGGCACCTCGTGGAGGGACTGTGCTGTGAGGTGGGAAGAGACAGGGTGTGATGCTGCAGATGGGCAGGCTGGCTGGTCACGGTCATAATGTTCAGCCACCCGGTTAATTCACTTGATTCTTTGCTTGTTGGACATACAAGGCAAGCTGTGAGAAATCTGCTAGTCCGATCATGCAATTCCGAGATACTTGTTCTTTATAAATCTCACTTTCAATCATTTGATGAACTATCCTATTTATTTAAAAAAATATATAACATCTTCCCTTCTGTTATAGTTTGTGGTGATAACTGTGTGTTTGAAGGCTGGATTGGAGACATCATACTGGACATGGGTAAGAGTATCTCTAATCACAACCAAGAAATATCACGTTTGCTTATGCATTATTGCTAATTTTTTTGTAGTTTGTCATTCTAACTTTATATATCCCTTAACCCTAGTGCTCTGGGTTGTAAATTGTTCGGGGGTCAGGGATGGAGGGGGCAGAACCAGCGATTCTAGTTTGGAAACATTGAGTAAAGCAAACAAATAAGTTTATTTACCACAAGACTTCATAGAGCCCTTAATATATGAGCATATATTGTGACTATCCCAGGAAGAGGGGAGGCTTTTAAACTTGCTGACAAGGAGCCTTTTCTTAGTAGAGTGTGTCACAAGACTGGCATTTGGCAGAAAATCCATCGCAAAATGATTCTGAAGACAAATCATTTTAGCAAAATATTTGTCCTCAGATATTTGTAAATATCCAATATGGATAAAACAAGTTCTATTTTAGATACCTTAGTTTTTAAGTATATTCACATCCAGGTAGAGAGACCTAGGTAACAAAAAAAAAGAAAGAAAGAAAGAGAGAGAGAGAGTGAGAGAAACAAAGAAAGAAAGAGAAAAGAAAATTAAAGTTTGATGCTCAGAAGAAAGATTGGCATAAGAAATTTGGATTTGACTGTCATGGGCATACAGATAGTATTGACAGAAGTGTCTAACACCTTTCAGCAAGAGCATTCAGAGCAAAAATCAGGAGCCTTAAAGATGGTACGGGGGGAAAAAGAAGAGTAGGAGGAGAGACCCACCAAAGGAGGTAGAGAAAGAACAGTTCCAAATGCCAGTACCACAAATATCATAGCTGTTGTGGAAAGAGATTAGCATTTAATGAAAGATCCGGTTAAAACACACATACACACACTCATGCACACAATTATTTAGAAATTCCCATAGATAATAGTCTATGGATGTAGTAAAAAATTAATAAGGGAGTTTGTGAAAGTGTTATTAGTGTTTGTATACTCGGTCTATCTAAAAGTCTTTTGACTCCAATTCCCTTTTCTTCACAGTTCAGCCACATAGCAATTTGGGGCAGCATCTCACTGTGGGTGGTCTTTTTTGGAATCTACTCATCTCTGTGGCCTGCTGTTCCGATGGCCCCTGACATGTCAGGAGAGGTAATGTGTCCTAATAACTCGTGATCCAACAAGCTTCAAAATAGGTATTCATTAATGAACCTGAGTTGTTTCGTTTGGATTTATATTAAAATAGCATTTTACCATTTAAAGGCTATTTTTAAATTCCACCATTGTAAGCAATAAATCTTAAGAGAATATTTTAAATTTAGACGTTTTACTTAAATCTGACTTATCCTTTCATAAACATAACAGGGAAAATAAAATATGGTTGTCGGGAGCTTGAATCATGTTAAGAATATCCATATAGAAAATGCCATTTTAAAATGAGAACGTAAATCACAAATACATTTCGGATGAGAGATTTGCGGAAATGGTGAGCTTATGTGTTTGGGACAGTCTATCATTTCTTCTGTTATCTCTTATTCTAAAGAAAAGCCTACTGTCATGAGATTAAATGCACTTTTAGAGTTGTCTTAATGACATCAGTTTGGTTTTCATTCTGAAAGAGTTAGGGCATCTGACATTTCAGCCTTATCATAGTCCATTTTCAATTCTGTCTTTCAGTTTCTTGTTACACTAGTAGGAATTGAGTTATTAGGTGTTCATGAGGGAATGTCACAAGATCTCCTTTCCTTCAGAAGAGATTCCAGCAGTAGGAGGGTTTATGATTTCAATTGCAGGAAATTTGACATAAAATGTATAAAAGAAAATGTGGAAAACATTTCAGGATTTCCTGTGACCTCACAGTAACTTGCAAATCAAGGTAATGTGAGCTCCGTTACAGTACATTGTTTTCCCATAGTCACAGGAAACTGTTCCAGCGGTTTCCATGTACTTGTTGCCCCTAAGTACTGCCTGAGTACCTTTCACTTTTGACAGTCTGGTTTATAGATCATTTTCATGAAATTTTATCTGACAGCATTCTGCTTTTTATAAATTAGTAGAATACAGACACATTAAAAAAAATTTTTTTTGTGGTTAAATTTATTAGAGAGTGGCATTATATACCATTACAGCAAAACCAGACATTTGTATCAAAGAACATGTACTTCCTTCCACCAAAAGTAAAGCCTTCTTTTGAAGCATGTACTGTGAACTCTAGAAAATTTACAGCATGTATTTTGAGGAAAACATAGAGAAAGCTGTGAATTCATCTCCCTGTTACCTTGGTTTCTGAGTGCTTTTTTCCTGAAGAAATAAAATCAAAGTCTGATGACACCACTTAAAAAATCCAGTTTTATTCTTTATTTTTATTCGATGCATTCTATCTGATTGGACCTGCTTTTCCCTAAGGTCAATTCCAACTTAATATCTTTTTCATTTTATCTCATTTCTTAATGTTTTCTCTTCAAAATGAATAACACAAAAGATTTTGAGATCCTGATAGTTTAAGCAACTATAGCCAGCAGCTTTGATGACAAGAACAGAGTTTTTGACCACTTACTTCTAGGACAAGTGTGAAGTTTGATTGGCTTTTTGCCAACTGAATATAATTCTACCCTTGCTTGTAGAATTCCTGGTATTATCCAAACAGAAAACTTAATATCATCTCCTGAGATTTGCGGTGATGCCGTGTTTAATTCCAAGTGAAATGAATGTCAGCACTCCATCACATTACTGTTCACTTCACATACAGTGAGAAGTGTGAACAGGGGTTCTTTTTCTTCTTGTTTTATTACTACTGATACTTTGAATATAATGTTTAAATAGTTTGTGCTCCACTGAAAATATGAAAATGGATTAATTCAGTGTGAGGCTTGACGAGCTTGTCCAAAATGTAACTCTGTTTAATTTATTCAAAGAAAAGGATAATACTTTAAATTTATGTAGTGCTTTAGTGTTTGCCAAGCGTTTTGATACATATGTGTGTATGTGAATGATCCTCACAACTCAAAAACAGAGGATAACAAGAATGCCACTCAAATTCTCCATGACAGATAGTCTGCATTTCCTGGGCACCAGGGTAATAGATCCCAAAAAAAGTTAGTAGCAATACTCAATTTTTCACATTTTTATTATTAGTAGAGAGTCACTAGTTCTATTACAAACCAGTTAATTTCAGAAAGAAGTAACTACTCTTAGGTTTATATTTTTCTAATCTTAAAACTATATTTCAATCAAGAGTATAGCCAAATACATAACATACATATGTGTATATATGAAAAATTCATTTATGTGCCAATATTTATATCTTTGCATGTGTGTATATATATATTTTATATATATATTAAATCTTGAATAAAATTTATTCATCTGTTAACTTTCATAGCAAAATACTATTGTAATATATTATGTATTACATGTTGCATATTATTATATATTACATATATAGTATTATATGTTATATATAGTAATATATTACTGCCAATACTACCAGGATAAGTATCAAGATGAGCATTCCTTTACTTGACATGTTGCACTCCCTATAGAGCTTTGTGGGTTTTACTCATGGTCAGGTCAAGAGCCATCGGATGGGTCTGAGACCTGACTTCTGTTTTCATAGCAGGGCTATGGCTGCTGTGTTAGGAACCCCTTAGGAAGTAAATGCAATAACCCAGGCGAGAGACCATGGTGGTGTGGGCCAGAAGGGTGGCAGTCGGGGAAGTGGCCCGATTCTGAATCTGTTGGGAAGGTAGAGCCCAGCCAATAGGATTGGCTGACAGACCGGATGTGAGGAGTGAAAGGTGGAGTCAAGGTGGACTCCATCGTGCTGGCTGTGAACACGTTAGGATGTGCTTGTCCGCAACTCACTGGATCCTCCCAGAAATGTGTTGTATAAACATTTCACAGAGAAGAACACAGAAACTGAGAGGTCAAGTCCCTGGTCTCACACCCCACTCATACTCAGTGGCAGAGGAGACTTTGACTGTGACGTCTGGCCCCAGGCCTGAAGCAGCCCCACTACCTTAAGCCCTGTGCTATTCTGCTCTCTGATCATAGTTAGTCAGAGGAATCCATGGTCTGTCATCTGGGAATTAGAAGTCTGAAGGGACTGTCACTCCCTTGCAGGTACTGCAAGGACTTGTGTGAAAGAGGAAATCTCTGATTCCCTGACAGCACGGCCTCCTCCACCTTTCTTCTCTCTGTAGACATTTCAGTGGTCTTGCTTTTCTTCAGCCCATCCTCCACATCCGAGCCACAGTGACCGTTCCTGATTGCTTACACCCCTTCTCAGGTGTCCCCTGCCCCTTCATTTCTTCACTCATTCGCGCCTACATAACAGTGTGGGGCTCCTAGTGCCCCGTAAATTGGTGTTAAATAAATGATCATCCAGTAACATTTTTTGCTTGCTTTTTGGTTGCAAATAAACAAATGAGAAATGGTGGGGTAGAGGTGACACAGAGCCAGGTTGCAGCTCAAAAAGAACATCTTTCTAACATGTAGAGGTCCACAGGTCGCAGTTTCCAGTAGCTGCAGAGCAGGATGCTGGTCTCGTGTGATCACCTGTTTCTGTGCCGATGGGCCACAAGTGATTCTTAAGCAGCCTCAATCATCTACGCCTCCGAGGTTGCCTGCCAGCTCCTGAGATTTATATTCTCTCTGTGTTTCTCTTCACTCTTCTCCCCAGAGGAACATCTTAAATGTTGAAAGGGCACAGACTGTCTTACTCTAGTTAACAGGATCTCGGGGTGCAAATTACACACAAATTAGGCAACTTACAGGTACAGGTCTCGTGTGTGTATATTCAGTTGTATATTCACAAATAGACCTCAGTTTTATAGTCCTTTCCAATTTGTATCCTTGGTTTATCTTTGTGGCCCCCTATGAAGACAGAGTCATTTCTTTCAACATGTTCAAAGAAACTCCTGGCGCGCTAAGAGGAGGAGGGAAGGGAACCAACATCTATTGTGCACCTACCATGTTCCTCAGGCACTGTGTTTGATCCCTGGCAGACCTTATTTTAAATCCATGTCACAGACCTTTGTGGTAAGCAAAGCAACTGACCCAGAGAAGTCATCACAGGTTTGGGTTTTTTTTCCCCCAAATCATATAATCACATTGGTTTTCTCTAATATCCGGAGAAACTAAATACTTTGGGGTGGGAGGTGGGGGAAAGGCATTGCTATTCCTTACTCCCAGATAGCTCGTCTTTTTTTTTTTTCCAATGCAGCCATCTTCCTTGCTTTGATTTCCCTCTGATTTATCTGCAGTTTCCCAGGATACCCAGGGCCTAAGCTAGCCAGATATAAAAGTGTTTCCATCTCTTTTTAAAAAGTACCCAGATTTTTAGTTCTCCCTTTTCAAGTCACTTGACATCCTCAACACATTTATAGGAATTCCATCTCACTTCATAGCCTAGCCCCTTGCCCATCCTTAACTGCAATATTAGCATAATACCCATCTCATTAAAAAATATATGCATGAAATTGGAGACCCAATCATGCCACCTCATCAGAGAATGTACCATTGCCACTCAGATCATAATAGGGCCTCCTTACTGAAGGTCAGTCACTGTTACAGCACTTTTCATGTCTTCACTCATTTAGCACTAGGAGCATTGAATAGCAACACTGTGAGGTATGGTCCATTATATATGTCACAGACACAGAGTGGTTAAATAATTTTCTCAAGGTCACACAGCTTGTAAGTATCTGAGCTACGACTAGAACCCAGCCAGAATCGACCACCTTAACCAGTGTTCTGTTTCTTTTACATTTCTTTTATCTTTTCATTCTTCTCCATTAAGGCTTTTCTCCCAGCCTTATCAACTTTAAAGGCCTTTTAGTGGCAGTGCCACCAGTCCAGGTACTTGGTTCCATCTTGTTGGTAAACTAAGCAATCTGTTATCTGCATACAATATTTCTGTCTTCAGCTGTCCTCAGCTACCATTATCTCTGACTAGGGTTTGTTTTCTTTTTTCACACGATCAGTAGTTTCTTTCCCCCTTACTTCAGCACATTCTCCATGCCTGAAGTTACCAGAAATCCATTCCCCAAATATCTCAGAGTGTAGTGCAGACTTCAGTTACTCCAGCCTGCTCTCAGTTGGTGGGCAGGGTGTTCCCTTTTGGGAAACATTCCTTCCTATATTTTTGAGCT